CAATATAATTTCTCATTAGAATACCCCCAAAGTCAGAAGCTACCCCAGGTCCCCCATAATGTTTTTTGGGGGTAGGCATCAAATATTGTAAATGGATAGCCTTCTGGTTCCCATTTTACAAGTCACATATTGTTCATCAAACTTCATCACTAGGCCTAAACACCTGCAGTTTGAAAACAAAGAAACTTAAAGCAGTGGTGATCTGGCACAATACAATAATCCATATCATCCTTGTTGGTGCTTCCGTTCTTCAGTCGTGTGTTGACTCACCAGCCTCTGGAGTGGTAAGAGCAAGGCTTTGAGTGTGTTGTCTTTCTCAGCTTTCAGTGTCAGCTTTATTGTTACCTTGTGCAACGAAGTCTTTGCCTTTTTTGACGTCCTGAACAATGTATTACTGAGACTTTGCTAGGTTCCCACACTGCCTCTAGCAACTGTATAATTTCTTGTTTATTTTTAATTAGCTTCCCTTCTGCCATGAGAAGACCTCGCTCTCAGTAAATCATGCCAATGATGTGCATTGTAGCAAATGCATAGCATAAGTCCGTATATATATATTTACCTTTTTACCCTTTGCCCATCGGAGTGCCTGTATGAGTGCCCAGAGCTCAGCATGCTGTGCCAACTAGGAAGGGGCTCCGGCTAGGATCACCTCATTCTTTGTGGTTACCTCATATCCAGCATGACAAACTCCATCTTCCACGAAGCTGCTCCCATCTGTGAACAGAACGAGGTCAGCATTGGACAAGGGTGTCATTTGTAGGTCAGGGAGGCTACAAAAGAGCTCATCGGTGACACTCAAGCAGTCATGATTGGGAAGGCCTATCTCGGAGGGCAAGAAGGTAACAGAATTTAAAGCTTTTACAGGAATAAACCATAAGCGGGGGTTCTCACAGAGAAGGGCTTGATACTGAGTAACCTGATTATTTGAGAGCCATTGATGCCCTCTTGTGTTTAACAGTTCCAAGACCACGTGTGGAACCTGCACAGTAAGGTCCTGACCTAGAGTTAGCTTGTCTGCTTCTTGGATTAATAAAACTGAGGCTGCCAAGGCCCGAAGGGAAGGAGGCCACACGTTTGCTACTGGATCTAAATTTTTAGACAAGTATGCCACTGGTTTATTCCATGGACCTACTTCTTGGGTTAATACTCCAAGGGCCACATGGTTCTTCTCAGTCACATACAGAACAAAAGGCTGCTTTACATCCAGTATGCCTAAAGCAGGGGCAGCTGCTAAGGTCAGTTTTATTTTTTTTTTTAAAGTTTGTTTTTTTTCTAGAGCCCAAAGTAAATGATTTTTTTCTTTTCCCTTTAGGACTTCATAAACAGGTTTAGTCATCTCTGCAAAACCAGGAATCCAAATTTTACAGCAGCCTGTCGCCCCAAGAAGCTCCCTCAGCTGTCTCTTATCTCATTTATCTTTCCTCTTAGCCCATTCCTTGTCTTTCACTAACTCTCTATTTACATACACTTTCCTACCCAATTGTAGCAACTGTGTTATATTCATACCCTCCCAAGTTTCTTGCTTTTGAATTTTCCTTCTAATATCTTGAGCTAACTGGGTCACAAAGTCATACTGATTAGCTGATGGTTATCAGGAACAGCAGGATCAAATGGTGTATAAATTCTGTAAACTTTACAGAACCACTCGTAAAATTTCTCAGGGCTCTCATCGGGCTCCTGCTGTGTTTCTAGCACTTTAATCATATTTGTAGGCCTTTTACTTGAGGCTCGTATCCCTGCCAAGAGGGCTGTCTGATAATTGCTTAAGCTGTCCTGGCTTCCTGGGGTGTTGGGGTTCCAATTGTGCCACTCATTTACTGGAAATTGTTGTTCATGTCAAGCATCTGGATTTTGTGTGCCTGCCGGCATTCTAGGAGAATTGATCTTTTCAATTTCTCCTAAAACTCTCTGCATTTCTTTAGAGGTTAACAAAGTTCTACAAAGTTCTTTACAGTCCTCCCAATTAGGACAATGGGTAGCAAAGATGGAATCAAATAATTGAAACATTTTGGAGGGGTCTTGGCAGAGAATAAATGACTTTCTTTTTCTCTGGA